GTCCTCCCGTCTGAAGGCCCCACCCACGAGATCCGAATGAACCGAGCCGTATGGGCGACTAGGTGCATTCGCATGTAGGGAGGGGAGGGGCATACAACTGGCGGGCACAGTTGTACGGAGTGAGCATACTCACCGTGGACCCGTCGGCGTTCTAAGCTGAAGAATCGCCTGCGGGGCGGTAAGCCATAGGCGACAGTCGAGCATGTCAGAGAGAAAGACTGAGAAAGGGTGAAGGGAGGGGGAGAACAGGCACTTACCTAAAGTCCGCATGCGAGACGAGCCGGGTGAGACGAAGGCTACGGCCTGTGGATCAAGCGAGGCAGCTACGGGAAGGCTGCAAGCTTGGAAACTTACCTGTTGGTTGGTGCGACGCTCGTCCAAGTTCGACAGAAGCAGCAGCAGAAGAGTTGCAGGCCAGGAGGCTGCCTGGTGGCCCAAAAGGCTGCCCATCTCGTTGGCTAAGTCAACATCGGGCCAGGAAGACAAGCATGCCCGTTGGCAGGAGTATCGCTCGTCCTGCCAGGCGGGAGGGCAAGAGCCGAGGAGGATGCCTGATTGTGGGCATAAGGCTGTGGGAATCTACGGTTAGTGTTTMGAACGGGAGGCTACTTTTGCAAGCCCAGTCTGCATACGTCAGGCTCGGGGGACTAGCGACAAAGGCAAGGATCTCGCTGGTGGGTGCCAGAACGGTGACTGGGCCTGATCGGTTCGCTGCGGCAACTTGGTACATCCGCTGCTGCTTTATTTCGATACGAAGGGGGACAGTGTTCTTGATTCACACCTTATGTTTTGAGTTGAGGCYARYGCACTCTGAACAACGAAGCTTTGCAAAGTAGCATCATTGCGAATKYAGAGAGTTGCTGAAGAGTCAACGACTGTATGTATTTGGCTACCATTGCGGGGCCCTCAGGCGCACCCAGATATCAAGRCCCTCTCCTGCGAGACTGAGAGTACCACTCTTGGATCTGAGAGACTCACATCCTTCTTTTTCTGCCCTTCTTACTCTCAGTCTAGTCCTTGGTTACGAGAGGAAGGCGGCAGGCGGGATTGCAACCCATAAGTCCGCGTCAAGACTGTGTAGGGAGTCCACCCACCGATTGCGGGAGCTCTGCCGAAACTCAGCAGGAGTTCTGGAGGCAGGGAACCTTCAGGTAAATCGTCTTTATCTGTATAAACCCCACTACTACCCATGTTTGCCTATCTCCCTGCAGTATGACTGCTGTATGCATGCGTTTATCCCTATGGTTTTTGCTTTCTCTTCAGGACTTAATCACACTAACTGGAAAGAATGTGTGAGAGTGAAGCCTAAGTTTCTACTTTGTTCTGATTGAAAGCAGACTAAGGATGAATTGGGGGAAGGTGGAAGGAAGGTAGACTGCATGCGTTTGACCGGGTCAACCAAAGCCTGAGCATTGTTTCTACTGTGAATGGCTCAGGGCTATGTTTATTTGGGTGTTTTCTGAAGGACCAGGCATTGTTTCTACTGTGAATGGCCTGGTCGCTGTGTTTATTTGATTGTTTTTTGGGGAGCCAGGCATTGTTTCTACTGTGAATGGTCTGGCTACCTTAGTTAACTCTGAGGGTTGTCTGATTGAAGGRGTTTAAATTCTTGTTTATTCTGAGGGAGGATTTTTTGGTCTAAGGCTAAGCATTCTTTCCATGGTGAATGGTTTAGCCTGAAAACCACGCACATAATCTAAACTAAGTATAAAGGAGAGTATTTTATGTATATTTGCATGTGAACTGGCAGCTGGGCATTGTTTCTACTGTGAATGGTCCAGCGTTAAGCCATATGATTAAAAAAAGAAAAAGAAAAATACAAAGTATAAATGGAAATAGTTTGGGAAAGCTGAACATTTTTTCTACTGTGAATGGTTCAGTCACCTGCCCATATTTGCTTTTTCTTTTGAAAACAAAGTCAGAGAAATACTAAGACTTTGGATATTAAACAGCTAAGGGCCACTAGGCATTGTTTCCATGACCAATGGCCTAGTCATCTGTCCAAAAGAAGAAAAAAAAAGTAGTTCTGCAGCCTGTTCGTGTATATCATAAAGACAAGTTGGGCATTGTTTCCATGACGAATGGTCCAGCTCTATGTCTTATGTAAGATGGGTGTAGGGATTCAAAAACTTGAAGATTCACGAACTATTTATATGGAATGAACTAGGGAGGGTGAGAGTACTTACATTCGTGGTTTGGTTTGCATGTGACTGGATGGGATGACTAGTTTGTTTGGGTTTCATTACTGTAGGTAGTTGCTGTAGTTGCTCGCCACGTGCTAGAGCCATAGGAGTTAGTGTCGATTCCTGCGTTTTCTGTAATAACGTTTTTTTTTTACCTAGGTCAATTCCTGCATTTTCTGAGATATTTTCTTATATTTGGCTTTGTATAAATCTTGGCGAGCCACTTTTCCTACCATGCCCCTCACCCTGAAGCGACGCCCTCCACCGAGAAATATCTAAATGCATCTCCAATTCCCTCAAGGGCCCCTCTGACGCTGGTGGCTCCCCCTGTGTGTGTGCTGGCCACCTCCTCAATCCACCCTCAGTAAAACGATGGAACTCCACTGGCCCCAACGCACACTCAGGGTATGCTCCTCACTCCTCATCCTCTGACCCTTGCTCTCTCCTGGCTAGGGCCTTCTGTCCTCCTCGGGATGGTCTCGCCTCCCTGGGCTCAGTGTCCCTCGGCCTCTGACTCCTCTGTCGCCTCTCGACTCTGGGCTGAGGGAGCTCTGGCCGTCGAAAGG